TATAAATAAAACAGTAGTCCCTCCGTGAGATCGTTTGCGAAAAATGCTGGAAACTCGAGCCGAATTAGCGACCGTTCCCGAGGAGACCTGTAACGACTTCTGGAAGTTCGCGTCGCTCGGGGAGTTTTAACCAGTCCGTAGAAAAATCGAGCAATTTCTGGGATACAACGGTCACGAGTTTAAACAATGTCGTTCGACTTTGCATACATCGTCGGTACTCCTTTACGGCATTCTAAGCTTTAGAAACTAGTCTTTGTACGATGAAACGTCGTCGCTGTAGGTCTCCTTCAGAGAATCGTTCCAGACGGATTAGTTAGAATTTTTTGTCAGAGGTATTGGACCGTGGAAAGTACTCCTTGTTCCACTTTCGGTCAGATGAATCTAAAGGGAAATAGGATACAACCGGCTCGCGTTCTTTTATAATGGCTAAACGTTAATTTTATACATTCAAATTGAATTCATTCGAATCTACACGTAGGAAAACTGTGTGCGACATACTTAGCAGTTGATTTATTTCACGGAGACCACAAATCCTTGTGGAAAAATAAAACGACCCTTAACAAGGTGTATAAGGGAGGAATTCCGAAGATGGCCAAAAACCGTCTGATTAGCGGGCAGAGCAATTTCGCGAGTAACGCAGAGAGCGTTTCCTCGTAGCTGGGCCGGTTTACGAGTACATTCTTCGGAATTCCGGCGGTCCGAGGGTCCGTAAATGCCACGAGCCTGGGGAAAGTCGATATGTACCTTTCGTCAGCTCGTAAAGGAAACAAGTGTCAGACGGTCATTGGGCGGTGCGAAGACTGCAACAATTTTTTAAGCCTGAAGAGAATTTATTTCACAATGTCTGTGACAAAATTTCGATATTCTTACCACGTTTGAAATCGTCTTATTGTCAGACTAGTTAAATTGAAAATCACACAATAAAACGTTAGTACGCGTATCTAGCGCGATGTAGGCTTTTGAAAACTCGTCGGAAACTCATAAGAATGCGTCTTAGCCTCGCACCCCATTTCCCGAAGGCTTGGCACGAGAACTAGTCGAAGCCAGACTAAACGTCTCACGGAAGCCGACGGAAAGAATCCGCGGAGGCAATCGTCGGCGTCTGCCGGGAAGATCAACAAATATCCATCGTGGAAGCGCGGGGTTGGGATGGTCAAATAAACCAACGGGGGCGAAAGGATCCGCGGCTGAGAGACTCTTTGTTCCGTCACCGGAACCCAAACACTTTTTCCAAGTTCCCCGTGGAACATATGACCTGTGCGAGTTCTACTAGAAGCGTGTCATTCCCTCTCTCGTCTCCCTCTTGTTCAGGGTTGCTCCCCGTTCTCGTGGCGGCGTCCCGCGGCACTTGACGGGGGCCGGGTCGTTTATCTAAATGGCTACTGGGTGGCCTGGCGTTCTGTCCCGTCGGACGAAAACTACCTCGAGTCGGCCAGAAGAAAGGAGCCCGAAAAACAAACGTCGATACAGCCCGGATAGATTGAGGCGTACGGTTTGGATCGCTGCGAGATCCTTTTTTATTCTTTTCACGTTCCGCGCTATGGGAAAAAAGTATCGTAGAGTCCTACACCCTCTTTCTTTGTCCACGAAACCGCAGTAAACCAGAAAACTTTCTATGAGGAATTACGAATCCACACCGTCCTTCTCATTCGTTCATTCAATAATATATTCCTCTTATTCTATTTCGTTTGATAAAAATTTCAAATTGCACTATTAAAAATGCGTTGCGGAGAAGGAGCACGGCGAGGGGAGGCGATTCCAAGTGTTCCTGCCGGTTCGCTCGTGCGGTTCCTTCGCGTAATGGAGGTAATCCGACCTCGTTGAGAATATTTAACGGCCGGCCGCAATGATACCGTGCCACTTTCGCGCCGCTTCCTAGTATCGTTGTTATGCAACGCGCGCCGCCACCTCGGGACCCGTTTCAATGACTACGACCGCTAGTCAGAGGAGGCCGCCTCGCCTAGATCCGCCGATCCGTTCCGTGCGCGTTGCGTGCCAGCGTTACGCGCTTCTGTGTACCGAGTGACTATTTTCAGAACGCGTCCCGTCCCAAACTTCTTGACGTCAGCCGCCGCGGGGTCGTTTGCGTCATCGAGTAGTCGAGTCTCAGTCGGGCACAGCGTGTACACTTCGCCGTCTAGTTTTCTAACGAGTTTTCTAATCGGAATAGTGTTAGCCGTGGGCAACACCCTTTCGTGATCAAAATTAAATATGTAGATGTAATCACGTATAAAGCTTGGCTTCGCATAAAAATTTGCAATCTTATCGTACATATAGCAGAAGATCATTTATGCGACGGTTCGATTCGAGGAATTCGGGCCACCCGTTAGAGGATACCTCGGGCGGCCTCCCACGCGTAGTTCACGCGCGCCTCGACTCCCCGGTGAATTTTTTTTAATCCGATTCGCCGCCGCGTTTGCGTGGCGGCCGCGCGTTGTTTTCCGCCCTTCCGATTTCGTGCCGTCCCCACCCGGGCTTCGTTCGTTTAAAATGCAAACTCGCGATCCGCGGGGGTTTTAAAACAGCCTGCTGTTCCTGGATTTCGTTGCGCCGCAAACTTGGCCCGCCGTTTCTACGAATTCTCGCTTCTATTCTAGCCGACAGACATTTACCTCCTACACTTTTCCACATTTATTTCCTGTTGTATGATTTAGAAACTCCCAGATTCCTACGTAACCAGCTCCCCAGCCACGATTCGAAATTATCAATTTATTAGGGAAGCTCAATCAGAATTCCCGGAGGGAGACCTCTATACTAAAACAAAGCACGCCCCTCGCTTTGTATTAAACATTAAAACGAACGTCGGACTCAAAGTGGCATACATATTCAACGATCGAGGCACGCGGCCCAGGTCAGAACTGGCCACGAGCTCTCGCTCGTTACACGCCCGATACGCGTTGCGTGTCACGGGCATCCACAGGCGACGGACCGCCGATTCCTCTTCCGTCTCACTCCTGTTGCTCGCCCGTACTCAACCGTGAAACTCGCCCCCGCGTTTGCACAAGACACACACACATAGACACACACTCCCTCAAGTAGGTTAATCTCCGTCCGTTTCGATCGGCTCGTGCCGTAACGTTCAAAGGGGTGGACACGCTGCCGTCTGACCCCGCAAAACCCGCTGGATCATCCACGATTAGCGGCCTCGCGCAAATCAAAGACGTCGTTTCATTACGATTTCTGATTTCTAAGATCTGATCATCGATCTTTGCATAGTGTGAGATCGTATTTTTTGCTTAAGGAGTAGATTTGTTAAATATTCGCGTTCAATGATCTTTTCTGTAACAGAATTTCTTTAGAGAATTTAGGAAATGCTGTGCACGGATGAATTTCATTATGTATAGCCACGTATGGGAAGCAGGTTAAAGATGACAGACTTATTTTCAGAACGGTTGGTGACGCGGAATATATTTCGGCATTATGCATAATATTCCAGCCGAGTCTCCGTTTTAACCCTGGCACCGGTCGCTTGAAAATTGAATGATCGCGTCGCGTCATGTCGCACCGACTCGACGTTCGCGAGACCCATCGATTTCCGTTCGCGGCCGACGAAGAAGAGCCACGAGACCGTGTCGCCGCCCATTACGTCCAATTACGGCTGCCGATCGGCCCGATATCGAGTCGATACGTTCGATGCCAACTGAAATTAGAATATCGCGTAGAATAGAAGAGGTACGTCGCAGGCTATCGATGCTTGTCCGCTTGTCACGACGCTTGACAAATGTATGATAATGAATTTTCAAGATTGGAATATCGACGATCACGCGCGTTATTCAACGACGAGTTTTCTTGTTAAATAAAATATTTGTAGTGTCAAGTTTGTCTTGTCACTTAAATTGTCTCGTTGCAGCTTCGGACAAGCTCAGATGAAATTAGTACCGATTAAAGATATTGATTCTGTCTAGTCTTAGCATTGATTCGAGAAGTGTCATAAAAATGAATATCCGGCGGCTGAAATCTTGATTGGTCGGGGCATCGAATCGATCCGACGCCGGCGATATTAGCGGCGTGGACGCAGTGGGTAATTACGGGGACGGTTCGATCGGGCCGCGTGTTATCTCAAGGCGGCGGTCACCTAGATATCGGCATTGTTATCCTGCCTGACCGCAGCCACTTAACCGAGTCGTAAGCCCCTCCACGAGTTCAACTTTACCCTTCAACAGGTGTTTAGGGAAATACAATAATGTCGCGCATGCGCCCCCAACTTCTTAAGGTCGGAAAGTTCGCCGGAACAATCTGACCGCGGCGCCGCGTCGTGTACCCCGCGGAACGACACCCCCGCGCGACCCACCCGCCACGTCTCCGGGGGTTAATTGAGTTTCTGGCCTGGCTGCAATTTCTTCCTTTGCGGCGAATTTCTTTAAGAGCCGCGTTCCTCTCGCAATTTAAGTTAGAAACTCCACTACATTCTAATTTCATATATAATTAATAAGGGACAGACTGTAGAAATTTGAAACAGATCCTTAAACGCTAAAAATGTAAATAAATAAAATAATGGGAAACGCGAGGATGTATGCATGTTATATTTTTGTACACGTTTTCGAACATTCGAACAAGGGGTGGACAATAGGGGTAGTTTCTGGCAGAGATCTGTGTTATCGAGCTCGGGTAGCGTGGGACGAAGGGTTGCTCGTACTGGCTGGCGCTGTTCCCAGCTTTACCAGCGACGTGAACGGAAACAGCTGTCGGCAAGAGAGCTGCAGGGACCTCGCATATCCCAGACACGAAGGTAGAGACCTTCTCGTTAGCTGTACAGTCGGCTGCAGCGTGTTAGATGGCATTCGAGTGTAGGAAACAGATTCGAACTGATAGCATGTTTAAATATAAATCGATTCTAAACGTTCGTTGAATGTACTTTTAATAAATTTTAAATGAAACGATGAAATATGTGAAACATAATGAATCGTCTTCGTTGTAATTTGTTGCGAGAAGCAATAGAGCGTTCTAGTTCCCTGGAAGTGACTGCTCGAACTTTGAACGATGTCGTATTTTGGTTTCAGACGTTGAATGGCGCCGAGGGTACCGTTCCACCCGGAAGAGTGTACAAGAAAGTCGCGATCGTGGAGAACTTCTTCGACATTATTCATGCTGTCCATGTTGACCTTGAGGGTCGCCCGGGAAAGCATGCCGGTCAGAAGAGAACGTACAGGACGGTGAGTTTCAAACAGGAATTTATTCGCTTATACCTCGTTCACATGTGCATTAACCACGTCAAACTTCAGCAAAAATGATGCGGTAGAAATCAGATATCTCGTTGCATTTTTCGCACATTCCCGATCCCTCACAACATTTTTAACGCGATCCTCTCATTAAGAGTTAAATCCGATCTTTCTATAGTAATTTAAATGATTGACGCAAGAAACAGTGAACTGCAGTTGTAACTGATCTTCAGAACAGATTCGATCGATCATAGTTCATTCTGGTGACCCGGAATTCGTTCGGGTCTCGAATTCTTAGCGGGCAGTGGCGACACGCGATATTTACCGGTCCCAAGGGTGAAGGTATCGAGGCATTCAAGCGTCGAACACTCGATACCACACGTCATCTCACGTGTTCCGGTTCCGGCGCGCGCGTTTGCGTAAACCTCCCTTCGTATCTGTTCCGTGACACGGTTCTCCTCGATCGCCGGATTCGCCCTCTTTCCTACTCCTGTCCGCTCGTCTCGTTTTCAACCCTCCCCCTCCTCCCTCCCACCGCGTGTCGACCTTCCCGCCCTACCCACGTCCCATTCGAGCCGCGTCGCGTCGCCCCGCGTCCTCTTTCTCTCTCTCGGCCGCCGCGATCTGCTTGTGATTCAAAACCTCAGGACACTTGTTGCATTGCCTGCTTACTGGTGCACCCACACACGCGACGGTCCGCGCACACGCACACGCACGCGTATGTACTGGCAGTCGCGAACCCGCGACCGTTCCAAGACGATTTCAGACTTGACATTTTCCGCACGTTCCTTTATCCATTCCGCATACTAACGATTGACGAGGGACACGTCGAGATAGACCCTCTCGCAATTTATGTCTCAAGAATTTCATTGAGACCATCGAATATAAATCCGTTTTTAAGAACAGTAATTCTCGTAAGAATAATCGTCGGTGTAAGTAAGATTTGGAAACGGTTTAATCAACTAACGAAAGTTTGCAAACCCGACGAATTTGCATCGCATCTGCTTCTCTTTTCCTCTGAGCGTCGAGTAAATCTTATCGAATTATACGAACGCGGCGCGCACGTACGTACACGCGTATAAATGCATGCGCGACCATTGCCTTTCTCGGCTCGCAGCCTCCTATCCTTGATTAAGTTACGCCGTTCCTTCACCGCCTTGGAGAGAAACGGTCCCTATTAAGAGGCAGCGAACATCCCTCCAGCTAAATACCTCCTCGCAAAGACATCAAAGTTCCGTTACTACTCATGAATTTTCCCCGGTGGGCGTTCCGTCTGAAACGGTTCCACGTGATACCCGAACGAAAAGGGTCACTCGTCGTTCCGTGCTGAATGCACAGACCCTGCTTTCCGCTCCGATTTCGTCACGAGAATTTCCAAATTACTTGAACGCAGTTGGAAATTAGGGACAATAATTCGATAATAATTTCTGATAAAAAAAAAAAGCCGCTGTGAGGGACGAGATCCCCAGGGAGAGGCTCCCTTCTGATACGATTCTTCCGTTTCCTTGCAGATCACGGAGACGTACGCGTTCCTACCACGCGAAGCGGTAACGCGATTTCTGTTGGGGTGCACGGAATGCCAACGACGACCGAGGACCCCAAGCCCGACGAACCTAACCAGCCAATCGCAGTCGACGTCTACGACGACGTTGACAACGACGACAACGCTGACGTCGACGACGACACCGCTGAGCCCGAACCCGACCGGCGCCGCCCACGCGACGGTGCAAAGTAGTCCTAAGCCGCGCGAGGGAAATCACAGCGGCGAGGGCGGCAAGCCCCTGTACAGTTACAGGCATCAGAGGCATCAAAAGGGGAGCAGCAGCAGCAGCAGCAGCGGCCAGGTCGCTGCTGCCACGTTAGAGAAAACCGATAAGGAAAAGGAGGAGAAGTACAATCCCTTGAGCATCACGAATTTGCTGAAGAAGGAGTCCGTGGGAGTAGCCGGCGGTTTTTTGCCGAGCGGGGACAGCCTGCCGGAATCGAGGAGAACGCCAGAGTCGGACCGGGCGAGCTCGAGGAGCTCCGCGTCTTCCAAGAGGAAGAGGATGCTGCCGGAGGGTCGCACCCCGTCCCCGCAGCCGAACCAGCCGTTGCCAAGGCCGTGGAGCCCTGGACTCGATCCGAAGAACACGCCCATCGACTACAGTCTTCCCATCACTACCTCGTACCTGAAGCACCAGCAAAGGTTGCTGCAGCAGGCGGAGAAGAACAGGGCCGAGGAGGAGCAGAAAGTGACCGTTCTGTCCGCGGACGAGATCGACACCGTCGAGAGGGAGAGATACTCGCCGGCCACCGGTCTGATCGACACCAATCTCAATCTATTGGCCACCATTCAGCACTTGCACTGCCAAGTGATGCTCGCGCTCACCGAGAGGCTCAGACCGTCTATGACCATGCCAAACCCGTTGGTACTGCCCTCGGCCAACGTCCTGTCCAACATGATGACGATGGGATCCGAGGTCTCGGTGCAGACCGGAGAGAATCACACGTGAGAGACAGGAGGGTGTCCAAAGGGTACTCGAGTCTTGTTCTAATCGTTGATTATAAATAGTATAGTTTTTTATCGGCACCGAGAGGAACACAGATGATAATAAAGTTGAGAATTGGTAAGCTTGCTTTATCTCGCGCGTTCGAACTTTTCTTTGAAGTTCCTAGAATAAACCTGGAGGATCTCGTCCGACGTAGTAACCGTTAATCCGGTTGACGCGTTCCTCCTTTCCAGCGAGAGGACGTTAACGCGGTCCAATATCCGATCCCAGCTGCCATTCAAACTATCGGGCTAACGCGATCATCTATTAAACCGGATAAGATCAATTACTTGGTCGGCGTCGCGGTGCCGCGTCAACGTCAGTTAAAGTCGGATCTCGCGCGGTTACTCTATATAGAGCCTGGCCCGAAACGACGAGTCGACGAATTATTCGTGAGTCTGTCAAAATATGGGTCGACTCTGTCGCGCGCTCGTCGATTTCTATAGAGGGCTTGCCCGGAAGGATCGGTTCGATATTTCGAGATCATTAGACAGAGCGGGTCCGAAATGGATAGCGGTTTCGATCCCCGGGTACGTCCTTTAAATTATTTAAACCGACCCGACTGACTGCTTGACTCGCGATTTTCCAAAAGTCGTCGACGATGTTAATCCGGTGGCAATTTATTTATAGAGGAACTGTTTGATATCGTGCGCACAGTTAAACGAATAATTCTGTGAACGAATAAAACGAAGTGATAGTTCGCCTATACAAGTTGGTTATGCAATGATCAATATTTTATTTGAGAACGTGCAACGGAGCGTATAATCGTCAGACTATGACGTTTCGTCTGTAATCGAACGGGATGGAAACGATTGTTATACAGTGTAATACCAAATGCGAGGATCTCTGCGAGAGAATTGTTGGATCTACCGTCGAGATTTCACCGGGTGTGACTGGTCCGACGTTAAACGTTTTCTTATCTGACCGTGTAGACTAGCCTTATGTACGATATTAAGGAAAAGTAGTTTCGTCGTGTATCATATTAGCTTGTCGTTGAAGGAGTCTGGTAATTGTTGTGAAAGTAGACGCAGATGTTGAAGGAGGCATTAAATAAAAGTAAAACGAGCGATGAACTCGTAACATTGTACATAATGGTTGTAACATAGCGCAGTTAGTTGTTAAGGGTAAAGAGCGCGACTGTATTATTACGAATAATATTGCTATTATATTATTATTACCGTGACAGTTATCATCATTATATAATTAATTATTATTATTTTATTATATTTAAATTGCACACGAACAAGATGAGAAATATACGAAATTCACAAAATCTGAATCGACGACCTAGTCATTTCCTTCAACTGTAAATAGCCGAAGGAGAGAGTTCCGGCCGTGTGTCCTCGGTTGATCAAGTGATTAAATAAGCCGAAGCTTTTCTTATCCACTACAGTATTCTCGGAGGAAACGAGAAAACCCATGAAGAAAGATCGGTCGATCCTCCCTCCGTTGCATGAACGAACAATGAACGCAATTGACACTTCTGGTCGTGGTACGAGCGAGCGACGCTGGCGCCTCGACGTACTTTAATATCACGAACAAAGAGGATGGAATCATCGAGTCCCCTTTAACAAAGGGGAGACGAAGGGCGGGCGGTAAGTTACCTGTTCTCTTCCTCTCTCTCCGCTTTTGCTAGGTAAGGATCGTTTCTTGGAGGCACCATAGGTAATATAGCCTTTTCCCATCTGGCTGTTGCCAACGTTGTAGCGGCCTCGTTCCATCAACCGGTACTCTCGTCTCCCTCGGTCTCTCTCTCTAAGTCCCCCTTTCTCTCTGTCCGACCTTCTCGGGGCTCCTCGCCACCTGTCTTCTCCGTTACTCTCCCTCTGCCCTTAGGAAAACTCGCCTCTTCCCTCTCCGCGATTCCAATAAGGCTGCCTCGTACCACCCTCTCTCTTTCTGCCCGTTATACCTCTTCCGCTGCCTCTCCCTCTTCGCTCCCCGTTCTCTCTATACCCTCGTTCGCTCACCCCCGTTGGCTCTCTCTACCACCCTAGCACGGGCTCAGACTTTCCCCTTTCGTCCGTGTGCCCCTTCTCGTCGTGAGGCCTCGTGCTTTTGCCACGACATTGTTGCTATCGATTCGGCTCTGAAAACGTGTTTTTCTTCGGATATTTCGTGGCTTTTCTACCGCTCCCCTCCAGCCACGGTCCGCTCTGTTCGTCTGGAATAACGAGGATTCGAAGAAACCCCGAGTTTGTCTCTCCTTTCTCGATACCCTCCTCCTCGACTTTTCTATACGTCCCATTTCGTTTCCTACTTCTAATACCCTCCACTGTTTTTGCCAGCTCGAACACTGCGTGGGATCATCCCGTTCGACGTTATTACACTCGAAACCATCCAAAACCGTACGAGAAATAATTAAATACAACAACAATCGTTCGAACAAGTAAAAAATTTGTAGGAGTATTCCAAATTCCTATTAACGAAGACTATGATTCATCTTTTCTTAACAGAAATTCGGATAACATTTTGATATGAATTTTAACACTACATATTTATTCAATAATAATTAATAGTATTGTAAACCTATTTAAATGAATGAATTGGTATTCAAACGTTGGATGTCGCTGCGGAAATTAAGAAGCGCCGAAACTCGGCTGGAGATTTCAATGAAAGGTTACACTCTCCCCGCGGGACTACTCGCGAACACCGTGTATATCGATTTTAGTTTCACCGCACAATAAATTGAAAAACTATTATTATATTCATCAATGATTCGTTTCATATACATATTTCTCGGCTTGTACATGGATTTAGATTTATAATAGATTTTAATACTAAAAAGTCCATTTATGATACGACAAATGAAATTGTCAATAAATGATCGTACGTCAGTCATGTGATCTTTCGTTTCGCTTTGCGTTATTCATCTACTGACTTTCGTTTTCAACAAGTTTAGGCCATGATTAAGTCGTCCCCTGACCACATTATCGGAGCTTAAGTGCCGTAACTCGATTCTCCCCTCTCGGCAAACCGCGGTATATAACTCGTGCGTGACGTCCATTGTTCTTCGGGAAGCTCATCCTGATCTTCGTGTCACGGGCTTCCTCCCAACCGGGAGGGAGAGAGGAAAAAAGAAGTAAATTGCGCGACCGCTCGACAATGCCCGGCTCGATTCGTTCGTCACCGTGGATATCCATTAGGCTTCGGGGTATTAAATATCGATATTCATCCACCGTAGAACTAATCGATCGGCTGTGCTATGTAATGGATTTCAAGCTTTCCGAAGTCTCATTATTATCTTGCAATTTTTACTGATCACCTGGCAGGTAAATACTTGGATCACATATGAAGCGAAATTACATTAGACGTTTGATTAGATGTACAATTTAACACGAGGAGCAGTCGATTTATCGTATCAAAGAATATCTTTAGCTTCTGTAAAAGCTCAGATTGGATTCACCTCGCGACGAAGCTGTGCTGCAAAGTTAGTTATTAACAAATGCCGCATGTCGCGGCGGTATCACCGTGGATCGTTCTGATCACAATCCTGGCGGCTGGTCGTTTTAAAATTCCGGCTACCTACACGGCTCAAATTGTGTAAGAAAAGAAGGGGGAGGAGGGGGCAACGCGCGAGAAAGAGAGGCAGTGCGAGGTCGTACGGGTTAGGAGTGCAGGGGATGGGGTCGAACGTAGGTCGCCGCCACCCCCGCCGGCCATTGTAATTCGTATCGCGAGTCGTGCGGGAAGATCTCTTATTTTCCCGTAGTATCCAGTATACCTACCTATATCCCGGCTAGTGTCTACCCTCGTTTCAACCTTCCTGTCCCCCGTCCCCGCCGCTTTCAGCCTCGTCGACGTCGTCCGACTATGCTCCCGCTCTTCTATCCTCTATGGAGGATAGCGCGCTGAGCTCTAGAATGTAAGGGATGATTTTGGAGATAGCTCGAGGGTCGCTCGGTACGTAGGAGTTGTAGGTTGGTGGGTGGTCGGATGGTCGAGACGAGTAGTGAGCGCGGGGGTAGCGAGAGAGGGACGGAGCGAAAGAGGGAGCTAGATCAGAGAGGCAGCGGGCGAGCGAGACGCGAGCATCGCGAGAGCATCCGGAGCGAGAGAGAGAGAGAGAGAGGGTGGAAAGGAGGTTGGAGGATGTGGAGAAGGGTGTAGGTTTGCGAAACGGGGGCTGCCATTGGGATGCTTCGCCCGCGGGGTGGTTGAAAGGGTGCGTGGAAGGGGGATGGAGGTGAGTCTGCAGAGTCTCAGGAGGGTGAGTTCGGCGCCGAGGTGTCGGCCTTTCTCTCTGCCCCTATCTATGTGCGGCCACGTACCGTACCTACATGCGCCCTATGTGCCGGCGGCTGGCTTGTTTAAATCTAAATAAATAATTCCGCCGCGGCCCACCGCGCGACGTTGATTTCGTCGATTCGCGTGATGTCTCTCGGTTCAAGCGGCGCGACGCGTTCCGCGACTGATACACGTTAAATTTTAATCGCCGAATCCTGCGGGCGTCGAATCGTTCAATCGTCAATCGCGTTTCATTGAACCCTGGCTACTATCTGTGCTTCCGATAAAATTGCTTTACCCGGTAACAGGGAAATTCTATGCGTCGGAGAGGAATGTCTCTCATTTGTTTCTAAATAAACGCTGATAATTTTTTCTTATTAATCGCAGCAGCTGTTGGTTCCTCTTTTTATTTGATAAAAGAGGCAGGAGCCGGGCAGCGAGATAACAGGGTCAGGCAGCAGAAGACGAAAGGGGTGGAAGTCGAGGAGAGGGAGAAAACGAAATGGGGTTACTAATTCCCGAATAATGAAGGGATGAATCGCTAACCCCTCTACGGACGATAAAAGGGTCGGTGCTCGGTGCATTGTTGGAGTTTTACTGTGTTTTTTCAACCACATGTCACGCATTAACCGAAACAGTGTGGCTTAAATGAATGGCCCTTCGCTCCAGCGGCCGCCGCCACCGCCGTTCCCGTTGTTAAAATGTTCCCCGTTATTTGTCACGCATTTATTTCCCAAGGACCTCTCGCTTTTCTTACTGCCCCGCGTCCCGCCGCTCCGCCACTTTAAATTCACGCGAGGCCGGGAAAATTCTTGATGCAGCGGATGAAAATTTCCGACGAGATTTCCAGTTTTTTCCGGAGAGTAACTTGAGCCCCTATTTGCATCGCGACGCGCGATTTTCTTTTTAATTAAGAGAAACGATGCCGATGATGAAATCGTCGGGGAAAATGATATTTATCGTCAACGACTTAATCTTTCGTCGGTTAAAAAGTTCCACGTACGATACAGGTAGAAATTCAAATTCCTCGGTTGCTTAATTAAGGGCAACGATTATTCACTTCGTTTCTGAAAAACGCGTGGACAATAGTAATTCGCAGATCATTATTTCAATTATGGTTAATTTTCTTGCTGCACACTTTTTGATACATTGCCAAAGGATGTTTCATGCTAAACAGTTCGTTAGATAATCAGACGAGTGGTCCGCGACAGCCGAAAAGCCACATTTTTGGGTGCACATTTAAATTTCCTGAACGCGTTCCCCTGCATTCTCGATGCATAACAAGAATGCATAAACTTGCTTGAATTATATCGACGGAGTAACCCCGAGGAAACGAATTCGTCTCCATTTGCATACGTTAAAATACACTGTCCGGTGAATAAAAATGAATTAAGTGACTTCCAGGACTGATTATACGTAGACGAAAATACTAACGAAAGGACAACGGAACGAAATTTGTTGAACGCGTATCTATATTCGTACGTAAAATATCTTTATAAAATTTTAAACATTGAGCATTTCGTAGCGGACCGAGTTAGATTTACTTAAAAGCTGTATCAGGTGAAATACGTTTGAACAAACACTTTTTCCGAAGTAACTTCCGCGGTGAGTGGATTCCGCGAGGACTGTTTGCACGGCTCTTTATTCTTCTCCTCCGGGGGTTTTCACCCCACCAGCCTCGTACTCTCGACGCCTACTTATATTGTTATGTAATTTATCTTGGCTACCCTTTGTGCGAAGTAACGCTCGCCCTTGGACCGCGGCATTAGCGACACCGGAGGGTGTCTTTACTTTTCACTTTTGCTAATTTCACTTCGCCGAGAGGGACGCAGACTTGACAAGTGTGACAATAGCAATAAATTGTCGAAACGTGCTAATTGAAATAACTTTTCGAGAGGCCTTGCGAACAAATGCATTTTTAATTGAATTACGAAAAGTGAATTCCGTGTGAAACTATAAGTTTCTCGGGCTAAGGGAATTGTTCGAACTGAATGTATTGTAAAGATCATCATGGTCTACAAAGCATCGCGAAAGCTCTGTCTGG